GAGCCACAGATAAAAACGACAATCGCAGGCGCGAGGACGGGCGGGAGCGGGGTCGCGATGCTTATCGGGGCGAGGGAGGCCAGCCTGGAAGCCCAGCGGAGCGAGAAAGAAGGAGAGCGAGAGAGCGGCGCTGACGAGAGATAGAGATCGCTCGTTTAAAGTTCGACGAGTCCGAAATGAAGAGTCGCTGCCAAGTTTGTCGCGAAACGCCGGGACAAGATTAGGGTCAGATTAATCCGAGCCATCGAGCCGCCTGTTGGCGTTCAACCCTTGTGTGACGCCTCCGGAATTTACGTAATCGAGCGATTCGCGCGGCGCGTTACGACGCGAGCCGAGCCGACGAGCTCCGCCGCGCATGCCAATCGGAGCGGCCGCGAGTGCTCGCCTGGCCGCTGCCGGCGCGAGCCCGGATAAAGATTCCTTTGGCGCGCAAAAAAGTTCGGCGTTGGCCGTCCGCAGCGCCGGTGGCGGCGGCGACGCGCCGCATCTGCAGCAGAAATTAATATCGAGCTGCGGACAGCGCCGAGTGCACGTGTGCGCCGGCACAGCCAGCCTGGGAGTCGGCCGGCCGCGCAAAAACTAGTGGGTCAGCGTCCGTGTGTTGGTAAGTGTGTATCTCCCTCGGACACGTCCTTCCACTGCTGCCCAAAGGACTTGCACAAGTTCGTTTCATCTCGAGGGCCGCCTGAAAGGGAAGCTTTCAGAGCGAGAGAGCCTGCGAGCCAAGTGGAGCGAGTCGAAACGAGCTCGGCTCTCTCCCTCTCACGGCTCGTTCCTACGTAGGAGGACGGCCTGAAACTCCGATGCTCCGCACTGCTCCGCTCCGCTCCGCTCCGCTCTCTCGCTCCCCTTCCCGTCCGATATGTAGGTGCGGCATACATACGCGCTACATTCCCGGCCTCGCTGCCGAGCTGTTTCAGAAAGTCTCGACTCCCCCCTCCCCCGCCCGGCCCGCGCTGTCCGCCGTCGGCGAGCGAGCGGCCCTTTTTTCTGCCCTTTATCGTTCCCCGCCTGCTGCCGCCTGCTGCCGCCACTGCCGTCGGTGCTGCCGGCCATTCGTAATTATATGCGGCGCTCGCCGCAATCGCGGCGTATATCGAGCCTAGCGGCAGTCTGCGCGGCGCAATTCGATTCGCCGCGCACGCATCTGGAGCGACGACCCTCTCGCCGACTGCGATCCATGGACAGGCGAGAGATAGCGACTGATCGGCCGTGCCTCATTGTCGCCTTATCTGTCGATACGCGAAAATCGCTCGGCCCGTCGCTGCCGCGGCGACACGGCGCTTATCTTCGCTCGTCTGCTCCGCCGGGGCTCGCGCCCGTCAGCCGGCGACAATACCGCGGCCTGCTAATCGCGTCCGCCGATTATTTTAATCCCGCGCGCGAGCGAGGCGTGCGCGCGCGCACGGCGGCGGTGGCGGCGGTGACGGCGGTGGCGGCGGCCCTCGGCGCGAGTCGTCTCGAAATAGTCGTGACGGCGAGGCGGCGGCGGTGGCGGCGGCGGCGGCGCTGTAACAATTTATACATCCGGTGAGCTGCTCTCGCAGCTCGAGCGCACGGGAGGAGATGGAGGCGCGGGGGTATGCACCTTCCGCGCGCGCGAGCAATCAGCGGCGCGAAGGGATTCCCTGCGGAAATTCGAGCCAGTCGAATTCCGAGTGGGCGCCAGGTATACGCGCACACGCGCGCGCGCCCACGAATGCGCGCACACACGTGCTGACAGTCGCGAGGGGGAGGACGGAGATAGCACGGCCGAGTGGAAGCGACGTAGGCGGGGGCCACGTGGCCGTGACGGGAGGCTGCCGCCACCGCCGCCGCCGCCGTCGCTCGGAGAGGTGGTCTCTGCGGTTATTTCGGTGATTGCTTTTATCGCCCGCCTGCCGCTGAAAAATTGCCCGAGCTGGCCGTGCGACCGCTCGCGCGCCCGTAAAGGACTGGCTAATTAGGAGAGCTCGGCTCCGGCTTTTCCCCGAATATATGCAGGCTTTAACTGGAGGCCGCGGCTCTCAGGTCGATAGCGCTGGTTTGATTTGATCGCTACCAAATTATTCAGGAGCAGTCGCTGGATTGTTTATTGGCGGCGGCGAGGCCGCCTGTTATATGCACCGCGCACGGGTCGCGCGACACACGGGGCGCCGCCTTGTTTTCAATTCGTTCCTAGCCCCTGTCGGGAAGCCAGCGGATTGCGAGCTGCAGCACGCTTGCACCTAATTTTGGTATATTTACCGGCTCCTTCCTTTCTTTGTGCGAGAGAACGGGGAGAGGGCCTGCGGGCTCGCTCGCTAATCCGCGACGAAGACGACGACGACGACGACGACGACTACTGCGCCAGCCTTATCTCCCCTCAGTTTACAAATATTTTTCTAAAGATCTCGCTGGCTCGTTTCGCCCAGTCCCTTTCTCTGGAAGGCTGATATATTTCGGACATTTTTCCTTTGCGGCCCTGCTATCTCGTTCATGTGATCGGCGGTGCGGCAGCGTCGGCGGCAGCTCGTCCCACACAGATGTATGCAACCCACAAGAGAGAGAGAGAGAGAGAGAGAGAGAGAGGCTATCACGCCGGGATTGCCGGGAATGCATTAGAGGAGAGCCGAGCGTGTACGTCCGTACGTAGGTACGGGAGGAGGAGGAGGAAGAAGAGGAGGTGGAGGAAGAGGATGAGGAGGTGGCAACGCGGCCGGCACTGCACACACATGCGAGACTGGGGGAGAGGGAGCTTCTTTTCCTGGGCACCGCCGCATATCTGCGGCCTCGCCTCGGTACGTTGCACCGAGACGCACACGCGCAACGAGGAAAATAACCCGTTTACGAGCTACCTCGCTCTTTCTCTCGCTCTCTCGCAGCGAACGCGGATAAATTGGATGGCGCGCTTGAGCAGCGGCGGCTCTCTGCGATACCGAAATATCGGCTGATTGATTCGCCGCCGTTGTCGCTACCGCAGGGGGCAGAGAGAGAGAGAGAGAGAGAGAGAGAAGCAGGAAGGTGTCGCGAAGGGACTAAGAATAGCATGCACGCGATACTGCGGTAGGTGCACTTTAATCGGTCAGCATAAAAAATGCTCGCTCGGGTGTATCTTTAGAATCTATTAGAGGGTCCACTGACGGCGTCGCTGCTACAACACAGTTCACATGAAATACGAATTTGTCTACCTTTCCTCGCTCTTGGAAAAAGAGGAGAGAAAGAGAAGCAGCGATGCAGCTGAGAGAGAAAGAGAGAGAGGCCCGGCAAAAAGGAGCACGCGAGAGAGCTGCCGTTGCCGTGGCCGCCGACGCTGCAGAGGAGGAAGAAAAAGGGAAGAGGAGCGGCTGCCGTTGCCGCTTGCGAGCTCAAAAAAGATAAAAGCGAGGAATAGAGAGAAAGAGAGAACGGCAGAAAGAGAGAGAGAGAGAGAGAGAGAGAGAGAGAGAGAGAGAGAGAGAGAGAGGATAGAAGGAAAGGACAAAAAAGGGGAAAAAACGATGAGAAAAGAACATGAACGTCTTACTGCGGAGCGTCTCGGAGTCTACGATCATCAGAAAGCCCCCTCGAAAGGTCGAGCTCTCGCCTCCGCGCGCGCGCGCCGCGAACGAACGAAGGGAGGAAAAAAAAACAAACGGAGCCCAAGACTTTTTGCAGCATCACGAGTCCACGGGAGACTGCCGAGAGAGAGAGAGAGAGAGAGATGACGAGGACGATAACGGGGGGAGGAGGAATGGGAGGAGGAGGAGGACGGTTGCCGGGGCGCCGCCGCTAAGTTGAAAGAGAGAAAGAGAACGAACGAGTAATGGCAAGAGGGTGAAAGGAGACGAAGGGAGAGAAACCTCCCGTTGCGCCCATACTGGACGACAACGACGACTACTCGGCCGCCGACGACGTTCCTTTTTCTCTTTCTCTCTCTCTCTCTCTCTCTCTCTCTCTCTCTCTCTTTCTTTCTGCCCGAGCCGCTCTCGCGTGGCAAAGGGACCGGGGAAAAGAGAGAAAAACAGGGGCCGAGAGAGCAAACAGAAAAAAAAGAAGGTGAGAGCGTAAATCCATATAGAGCGAGGGGTGCATCTAAAGGGTGCCGAGGCCTCTGTGACACAATCCTTTCTCTCTCTCTCTCTCTCTCTCGCTCTCTTCTGTCTCGGTGCCGTGTGGCACAAGTGCATGCATGCGCCCTTTGTCCGCAATACTATATGGATCTGCAGTATCAAGCAGCGCGGTCTCTAATGTGCAATTTCAAACTCATCGCCCGAGCCTGCAGTTTTTTTTCTTTTATCACTCCTCGCTCAACTTTGTAGGTAGGTGAGAGCGAGCGAGCAAACTGTTGCTGCGCCGTTCGCCTGCTCTCTCTCTCTCTCTTACATGTGACTCGTTATCTGCCGTTGAAAATTGAATTTCTGCTGATTGAACCCGGCGATAAACAAGATTCAGCAGCCGCTAATTGAGCGATCATTCATCGGGCAAGCGGCCATTCACACTCTATGGCAAGGGCTCGCACGCGCGCGCGCGCGAAAGAGAAAGAGCTGATAAGCATCGGATCTGGCGCAGGTATACAGCAGCTCAAAAAGGAAGGAAGGAAGGAAGGAAGGAAGGAAGGAAGGAAGGAAGGAAAGTGCGGGTCGTAGGAGGGAGGATTCTCTCTGGAGTAGAGGCAGAGGCATCATCAGAAAAGTTGGAAACCGAAAGGTGAGGCGCAGCGAGTTGAAGGGCCGGGGCGGGGGGACAGAGCACGTGCGTCGGGGCGCACCCCTCGCCCGGAGTGGCGCCCCTTTTGCCGCTTGTTGCGGTGCACATGCCTCCCCCGTGCGGGTGACGCTGACAGGCCCTCGCACGCGCACGGATCGACAGAGCCGCGCGCTGCAGCGCAGCTCGAGCGTTGCTGGCGCGGCTCCCGCGGCAGAGCGGAGCGGCGTCGGGCGGCGCGGTGCGGCGCGCCGGGAGGGGAGTGCAGCCGGGGGAAGGCCGGCGGTGCACGAGAGAGCTGCGAGCCGCTCCGCGCGGAGCAGGCAACGCGCGCGCGACAGTGGAGGGGATCGGTCGTCGCGCGTATTCCCGACTCGACTTGCTACTCGTCGCGCGGCGCGGAGCGGAGCGGCCAGTTCGCCGTGAGCGCTCGTCACGCGAGGTCATCGATTCGGCGCGCGCGCGCGAGAACGCACCTGCGGCCTATCTCCGCTCGGCGCAGAGCCCTGCATGACAAAGGAATCGACGGCAGCGACGGCGACGACGACGACGACGGCGGCCCAGCTGCTTGCTCCCCGCGCGGCAGTGACCGCACGCATAGCTTGGCGTCGATTCAGTGCTCGCGCCGAGAACAAAGTGCCATGTGCTGACTAGCTGCCTGCCGGCAGGAGGAGAGCGCCGAGACCGGCGGCGGGTTCATTCGTATCCAGCGCGGTTTTGTTTTGCTGCCGGCGCGCCACCTAGACAGGGCCGGGGCGCGAGCGACGAATTAGAGACGGAGCGCGGCGCACGGCTCGCCGAGGATCGACAGCGTTCGGCGACTCGCGGTCCAACAGCAGGCAGAGCACGAGCGGAGCAGCGGCGGCCGCAGCCCGAATATGTCCGCCAAGCGAAAGGCCACTGCCATCATGCAGCACCACAAGGTGAGTAACGATCCTTTTTTTGCGCTCTCCCGTTCGCGCCAGGCAGCCAGCCAGCCAGCCAGCCAGCCGAGAGCCGCTCTCCGCGCACGCAGATATTCTCTCTCCCTTCTCAGCTCGTGCCGCGGCTGCTGGCTGCTCGTCGTTCTTTTTAACCGTGCGCGCCTTCCCTTGTACGGTGCCGTGGCCGCCGCAGAGTCGTTTCAACTTTTACTCCGCTGCTCCCCTCCTTCCTTTCCTCTCTCGCTCTCTCACCTCGCTCTGCTATCGCCGAGCGGCTATCTCTCCCGCTCCCGAGTCTCCTCTCTTTATCGCCCCGCACGACCCAACGTCCGCGACGACTCATTCACACAACTCACGCAACTCCCACCTCGGCTTACCCTTGGACTGCTTGGCCCGAGCCGCTGCTCGCGCAGAGCTGCATGCTTTTTTCCGGACCCGAGGAAAATGTACGATAATCCACGCTCCGATCTCTCTCCGTCTCCTCTCCTGGCGTTATCGCGCTGTTTATGTTTTGAACTCGTCGCGCTGATGAATTGTAACGATACGCGGTCTCGTTTGTGCGTAGGCGGCTGTTCTTCGGAGCCCCGACTACCTCTTTATCTGTCTCTTTCGTCGTTCTGCCCCGAGTCAGGGCATAAATCACAGTAGTCCGCGAGAATTCGCGGGCCCAACGGCATGGCAAAGCAAACGGTCGAGTGCCAGGGGAAAAAAATAAAGCTGCGTCGGTCGTTAAGCCAAGCCGGATCGATTTTGCGCGCGGCCGTGGTGTAGCGTTGCGCGAACGGACAATGGGCCGGCGACGAATCGACGTCGCGCTGATAAATTATCGATGCAACAGTTGCAACTCGCCAGTTCCAGCGCTCTTTCGCTGGCGCTGCCACCGCCGCCACCCCCCGCGCACTTTGCCGATTTGATCGGAAAGCATTAGACGCGAGACCGCCGCCGCCGCCGCCGCCGCCGCCGCAACCGCCGCGTGCTCCGTTATCGTCGCGCCACGTGCATGTGGCACCGTCAAGCTCTTACGTCATCCCCTGTCGATCCCCCTCTCCGCCTCCTCCGGCACTCTTCTCTCTCTGTCTCCGTCTTCTGCACACAATGCCGCGAAGCCTTATGCTTCTTCTTATTTTCTTGTCTCCTCTTTTTCCCTGTTTGTGTCTTTGTTTGCGCCGCGGTATCGACAATTTGCAAGCGCTTGTGCAAGCTTCCGTCCAATCGTTGCGATACGACCAATTTTCGCGTTCTCTTTTGAAAAAAGGACGGCGTCCACTGGGCGTAAGCAAGCTTTACGTCAACAATAGCGTTGTTCTCGTAGCGTCTTGGACGCGGCGCACGCGTCCGCGCGGGACACGCACTCCGGCAATTGGATTCCGAGCGAGAGCAAAATATAATTATACGCAAGGCGGCGTTCGGCGCACTCTTCACCTACTTAAACGGCAATAAATCGCGAAAAGAGAGCGGGAAATCGAGAGAGGCTAAGCGGGTGACGCTCGGCTAATTCGTAGCGCGAAGGGTGGGGTGGAAGAGACGGGAGGAGACAGGCAGGGGCCGAGGGGAGGGGGCGCCGGCGTTAAATCGGAGCCGTAAATACCTCGGTTCTCGGATCCTGGCTGCTCGCTCACTCGCTCCCCTAATTTGACTAATGCGAGGACTACGAGCGAGCCACTAAATCGATCAAATCGTTGCCGCCGAAGCAGCTCGTAGCCCGCCAGAGCAAATTGAGGTGTGGGTCTTTCTCCCTCCCTGTCCTCTCCCAGGCCCCACTCCTACTTTAGTTTTATTAATTTCGACCGGTCGCTCTTCCTCGGGAGGTTTTACGTTGTTTCGATGCCGACCCGATTGTTTTCGTCGGACGCGCGGATAAAATATTACCGTCACGCCGCACGTACGCCTAATGAGCCGATTAATGGTTATATCGAAGGTGCAGTTGCACGTGGCACGCTCTATTATTCTTGATATTGGTTGAGTCTCTCGATAGCGTAGAATTAAGCAGCCTGAGAGAAAGAGTACAGGCTGAAGTCGAGCGACGGATTTGCGAAATTTCTGCGGCGGACTGTACTAGTTTCTATTCAGGGTCGGCCGCTCGAGGCACATACAGCCATGCCGGGATTGTTGCTTGCAATTTCTCGGCACGGACAGCGGGACAGAGAGAAAAGCGAGAGGAAAATCCCAGAAAAGTCGGTACAGTGGTGCCGTGTGCTATATACAGCGGAGTCGGCAGAGCAGGCGGTATCTCATTGGGTGCGAGGCATTCGGCGATGGACCGAGTAGGCGTTGCGCTTTGAATATTTGCCGAACGCGATATCCGCGGGGAGAAGGTAAATAGCCCAAGGCTAATTCGATCTTGTGTAGCGCTAGCGCGCGCTCGTGCAGGCTGCGGTGGCGAGGGAATGGCGCGCGTATAGCTATTGCAAATTAAGCGTGGCTGTCTTGGCTGCGAGCGCCTCCGCGAACGAGGCTCCGTTTCGATGACTATCTCCATTGTGCACCGCGGTCTTCTGGAGCTCCGTCTTTCGCCGGATAAAGCCAGCGTCGATCCCAAAGATACGCGGCTCCGCTGGCTGGCTGGCGAGCTTATCGGACGACTGCGGGGCAAACTTTTTGCCGTCGTCCGCTGTCTCTGGCGCGCGCGCTCTTTCCCTCCCACAAATGGAAACATCAATTTCTGAGAGCTGCAACGCGAGAGAGACAGACTGGGGCGAGGCGAGGCAGTTGCACGCTAGCGTGTCGCGCGATCCTCTCGTTAGCGAATTAATTGTATATATACGAAGAGCCGGGAGAGAGAGAGGCGCTAGCAAAGCCGAGCCGTGGGTAGCGCGACGGCGAGGGGGGAAGTCGTTAAAAATGAAAGGCCATTTTGCTGAAAGTGGCGTGGCGCGGGCGCGGATGTGGGTCAGCGTCCGTTGACATCTATAAATTAAACAGGGCGCAATCAGCGCTGCCGCTAGTCGCGCTCCGGCTAAAATCAATTCGCGCACAGTTCGTTCGCCGCTGTCCCAAGCCCGCGCGCGCCGCTGCAGGCGTTGCATCGCCGCGGCGGAACGCAATCGCCGATAAAAGCGTGAGTCAGAGCGGCGCGCGCTCGGCCGAATGGGGGCTGCGCGCCGCGCGAGCGAGGCGCGGAGGGGAGCCGCCGAAAAATCCGAGCGCCTCGCGCGCATAGGGGCCCCCGACCGGCCCGGCCCGGCTCGGCCCGGCCGTGCCCGCGAGCACCTCGTACGCGCGGCGACCGTCGCGCAACTGGAAATGGGGGCCGCCTGTTCTCGGGCTGGCCGGTTCGTTCGGCGAGGACGCCAGAGGCGCGCGGGAGCGGCGCTGCCCAGCGCCGGATCAATGAGCTCTGCCGGTTATTTCCAGAAGCCGGCGGGACATTGTCATTCAACGATTCGAGCTTTGAACAACGAAAAAGTCAGGCTCTTTGCCTGGTCGGGAGAGCGAGAGCGAGAGAGAGAGAGCGAGAGAGATGGAAGCGCGCAGTAAAGAGACCGAGAGAAAAGTAAAAGCCGGGGCACTCGACGAGGCGGCACACAATGCGAAAAGCCATAAAGGAAGAGCTGGCGAGGAGCGCGTCGCGCCAGACGGACGGACGGCCGGGCGGTCGGGCGGTACGTGCGGGCGGAGGGGGGCTTATCGACGCTGGTGTGCGCGTGCATGTGTGCAGCCGAGCGGAGGGGAGGGACACGTAGGTACGAGTGCTCGTCGCGGAATGCTTTCTCTCGACTCTCGGCCGTGCAGGCGCTGTCCTCTTTGAAAAGCTCGCGCTGGCGCGCGCAGTAGGCGTGTGTCGATAGCGGCGGCCCATCCATGTCAAGGCGCACCGGCCGCTGCACGCAACTCGCGTCAGCGCGTACGCGCGCGCACGAATTTCCTTTCGCACACACGATCGGTTATCTGCGCCCGCCTGTCCTCGTCGTCGCCGCCGCCGCGTCGCATTATCGTCTTGTCGTTGTGCAACCTCCGCGCTCGCGCTCTCACTGTCTCGCTCGCTCCTTCGCGGCTCAATTTCACGCGCCAATGACAGTCGGATTCCGCGCAAAGAGAGTGGCAGTGCGCGGCCGCTGCGAAGATCGAGCCGCGGATAAAACCGCCGTCGGCCCCTCGGACTGCCCTCGGCTATCTCGTCCGCGCAGCGCTCGAAAAAACCCAGCGTGGACGAGGCGCCCGGCCCCTCGCTCGCCTCGCACTCGCCGAGCGTGTAATTGGGACACGTTGGCGGCCAAGAGACAGCGAAATATTTCAACGCGCTCGATTAACCTTTCATCTGCGCCTGGGCCGGCAGTGTCGCGAAAAACGCTAGATATCGAACGAAATTTCCAGCCGACGAACAGTTGCCGGCGAGCAGCGAGCGCACTTCGCAAGCGATAGTTTATTCAGTGGATTATTGACGGGCGGTGCACGCCCGGCTAAAAATAGCCCCCGGCGAAGGCCCACTCGCTCTCTCTCTCTCTCTCTCTCTCTCTCTCTCTCTCTCTCTCTCTCTCTCTCTCTCTCTCTGCCTCCCGTATTTCGAATTTGCGCCCGAAAAGCCGAGCCTGCAGTTGCCGCGCGCTGCTCTTCCCCTGGCGGCGCATTTTCGTCATTTTTTTCGTCCGCGCTCTCCGCCGATGAGCCGTCAATGTTTGATGCGCGGTCGTTGCCACCCGACGGCTGGAGAGAGACGGCCAGAGGGCTATAACCATCGCACGCACGCCTCGGCACAATTGCCGAGGCTTGCTCTCGCGGCTCGAGCTCGAGTTCCCGACCAGTCGAGACGCCGTCGCGCCGAGCGCTGGATGCGCCCGCGAAAGCCGAAGAACGCCACGCTCGTGTCGTCGGGCTTGCGCAACATCGACGAGCGGCCAAGTGAGACTTGGCAGCTCGTCGAATCGATAGCTAATAGCCGCTGCATGGCGCGACTGCTGTAATTAATGCAACAAGTTGATACCTAACCCTCGTCCGCGAGCGCTGTGCCGCTACGCCGCCGCCGACTTTCAGCGACTGCTGTCGGTATCGTCTATCCGATT